ATAATAAATAATATTTATTAAATAAAAAAAAATTAAAAAAAAATAAAAAAAATAAATATTTTTTATTTATTGTTTATTATAAAAAAAAAAAAAAAAAAAAAAAAAAAAAAAAAAAAAAAAAAAAAAAAAAAAAAAAAAAAAAAAAAAAAAATTTTGGGTCGGCGAATAATGTAAAGCGAAAATAAACTTTGTGTGGCTTTATTTTGGAGAATATTGGTATGGTGCTAGCAGTTAGAAATTGGTTTACCTTTTTCATTCCACGCTCTAACAATATAATGAATTCTCTGTAACTTCACCTTTTTACCACTCTATAATCATGGGAATAAATTTTTTTATTAGTATTCATGCATGAAACAGCCTACGTTATTTTGAAACTTGATATTTTCAAAATAATATACATAAGCGTTATCTAATCTTTTTGCTACATCTTATAATCAGTAGCCGCATAAACTGCATCAAAAACGACAAGATAGTGCTTAATTCTGATTAATTTAGCACTATCTTGGGATGTTATGTATAGAAATTACTGAGATCAGAAATAACTGGTCTTTGTAATTGAGAAAAAGTTTTGGGGTGTAATATTGAAAAAAGCTTTGTGTATTTCCCCAATTGATGCATCTCTTTGTCAGGCTATTTTATGCATTTGGCTCTTGCATTAATAACGTTGTATAATTTCTCACGACAGATCCTTGGCGTTGGTGTTATTATTCTTTCTTGCAGAATCATGCAGAATAGACTCTCGTTCGTAATTCTTTCTACAACAAAATGCTTTAGATTACATTGATAAATCATTAACAATAATTGGAATATCCTAGTATCTGAAGTAGCGAATCGACCAATTTGCGGGTCATGTGAGCAGCGCCACTGCTGCAGTATTGTTCATTTTCCCAATACGTATAATCTTGTTATTGTCGTATTGTTACCAGTTACATTTTCATATATTTATGGGTGACATTTTTCTCACATGACCCGCAAATTTGAAGGCCGCCCTGGTCGATTCCTGAAGTAGCAGTGAGATTACGAAAACAATTAAGCTAAATTTGATAAATTTTATTTATTCTGACATACAAAATTAAAATAAAAAAACAATTCTGTTCGAATTTGGTTATGTGGTTGTAATATCAATAATGCTGATGATAACGCACAATTCTGTCGTGATTATGCTAACAAATAAAATATTGAATTGTTATTGTTCTTTATCGTTATTCAAATTAGTGAGATAGTTAGATTTTGGAAATATTGCCATGCGGCCAGATTCACAATTCAATTGTTTGAAAACATATTTAAACTTTGATGTTTTTTCTTGCTGAAAAATAAGGTTTGAAATCTTGCACTCTGAAATAAAATGTTCGATTTATAAAACAATATATCTTTTCTTTTTTTATAGCTTAGAATTTTTAAGTTTTTTCTAACTTCAGTGTTCTTAGTAACTTGGCGCACTAATAAACGTTATCTTTTGCGGTGTTTTTTTTTTTTTTTTTTTGAGAAAATTTTATAGATTAACATTTTATTTAGCATATATATCAAAATTTTACGATAATGGATGATGATATTAGTACTGATGGAGTTTCAAGTGATCCTGTTCCTATTTCCGAAACGGATTCCGTACAAACAGCAACAATGCAATCGTCATATAGCGGGGACGACCCCAAGAAGATATTTGGAAAGAATTTGACATTATAAACAATGGAAGAGGAAAGCATAAAGGAGCACGGTGTAAATATTGTGCTACATCATGGACTCGAGGAAGAGCTCAGGATATGAAAGCTCACCTTGAAATGAAATGTAAAGGGAAGGTACCAAGAGAAATTCGACTTAGGGTACTTCGGGACCTTCAAAGTGAAGACGGGCCTACGCCATCCGGAACATCCACCATAAAAAAAAGAAAATCAGGCAATTCTACGTTATCTCTTGAAGATTACTATGATACAAAAGAAGCCATTGATAAAAATAAAGAAAAAATGGCTAATAAATCATTAATTAAATGGATTGTGTGTTCTGGCATTTCATTTTCCGCCTTTGATAATCCTTATTTTGAAGATTATACCAAAATGTTAAACCCAGGATATGATTCACCCAAGCGAACTACATTGGCAACATCAATATTGGATGTAGAAGCAGCAAACATAACATTAAAGATAGAAAAGGAACTATCAAAATCTAGGAACCTTACATTGTGTGTAGACGGTTGGTGCAGTCCAATGAAGCATAGCATATATGCCTTCGTTATAATGACAGATGAAAAAAAACAATATATCTATTCTTTACGTGATTTTTCTATGTTCTCTCATACAGCCAAGTTTAATGCGGAAAAAATAATAGAAGTACTAGAAAATGTCGGACCTGATAAATTCGTTGCAATAGTTTCTGATGCAGAATCAGCAATGACGGCAGCAAAATGACAGGTTACAGCAAAATATCCACATATCTTACCTATTAGATGCATTGCACACCACATACAATTAATCTCTAGTAGTATCTGTCGTTTGCCACATACGCGAAATGTCCTTTCTAACTGTCAAAAAATTATAAGTTTTTTTAGGAATTCTTATATTGCTGGTGCTGCCCTTAGAGAAGAAATTATATGTTCCTTCACGGTTGGTGGAAATTTAAAGTCTAGCATTAAAACCCGATGGTCAACAGTATGGGATTGTTGTGAATCAATTTTACGTAATGAAGCGAACATTCGATCGGTATATAAGTTTTCTATTTCACGATCTTTATTACTTGTTATACTTTACATAATCATACTTTAAATTAAAATAACTTAATTGCAATAGATTTTAGAACAAGACCCTCAAATTTTTGATCATGCAAGTGCCGTAAAAAATCTAATAATTGATCGTCAATTTTGGATTGACGTAGAACAATTAAGAAATATTCTTGGCCCAGTAAAACGGGCTGTAAAAAACGTAGAATTTCGAACTACCTTATTGGCTGATGTTTTCGTTGAACTAGTAAAAATGGCAATCGCAATCCAAGAAACTTCCATTCTTTATAATGGCCAGTTCCGGCGTGATTGCATTGCCATTTATAATAAACGGTGGAAAGAATTTGATATGGATCTGTATCTTTTATCATTTTTTTTGCATCCAACTTACCGCGGTACTTAAAGTCATGTGTCTAACATAATTTAGAGTAATATTTTTTATATTATCTTTTTTTTATTTTTTTTTATCTTTTTTTTTATAGGTGATTTCCTTGAACCTGGTATATATACAAACCATGTTCTTAAAAAAGCTTTAGAAATATGGAAGCAACAATTTGGAGGTGGTCGAATTAGTGCAGATCTTTTAAAAACTCAAATGAATTTATACAAAAACCAAAAGTATCCCTTTAAAGATAAATTTATTGCATCCACTGATACAATTACTAATTGGTGGATGTCTAGAGATCTTAAAAGAAATGAAGACCATATTAAAAATCTTGCTGAAAAAGTACATTCTATTTCCCCCCATAATGCTGCTTGTGAGCGTGTCTTTAGCATACTAGGGTGGTATTTCGGAAAAAGGCGAACTAAGTGAGTTATTTTTTCTTTTACGTTGTAAATGGGGATAGAGTTTAAGTTATTCGTAATTTTTTAGTTGTTAGTATTTGAATGCCGCAAAAAATTCTAAAAATTCACGGCACTCCAAAAAAGGCTTTAACGTTAAGTGTCACTTTTGTATAATGAATTTAATGCTTATATAATCGATTTTGATTGGCCAATTCCGGTTGATACATATAAAAATCAATTTTGTTATTAATCATTCTTTAATTTCATTTTCACTTAAATGAACAAATACAAATACTATTTTTAGGCTAAGCATTGAACGCCTAGAGATTATGGCTCAAATGCATTCATATTTGATTGAGAATACTAAGTCAGAGCTTAATTATGTGAATCCAAATTTTCCTCAAGAGGATTACTTATCAATTTTCAACAAAATCGCAAGTTCCATGAAAGACGGCACGGATTTATTTGGTGAGGAAGAGTCGATTTCTTTTTCGGAAGAGCTTACGGAAGAACTGATGGAAGAGCTGATGGAAGAAGACATGGAAATTCTTTCGGATGAACCAGATGATTTAGATCAAGAAAACTCCACAAATTTAAACATAGAAAATTTCATAAATTTACAATCAAAATTAGATATTGATGAGTCTTTAGGTGTAAATGAAGAAATTGTACATGGGGATAAAGATTTTGATGTAAATGATTTGCTTTATTGATAGTTTATTAATAAAGTACAATTTACATATGATTCAGGGAATTGGCCTTTTTTTTTTAAAAAAAAAAAAAATTCGCAAGTTATGCGATTTAGCTGATCACTATGTCAAGATCACGGGATTAATGAATAATATCCTGTTCCATACGGAAACGAAGTTTCCGCTAATCCCCAATGGATCAGGATATTATTATTACTTATTTATTTTGCATTAAATATTATCAGAGTTCAAGCTCGGTCAAAGTAGTTGGGAGTCAAAAATATTTTACCGCCGCAACTTTTGAAAATTACGTACGTACCTAATACGTGAGAAATACGTTTAATTAAGATTTCTAATGAGTTTATTTGTGACTACGGTCTTATAGAATAAGTAAGAGTTTTATGAATTGTGCTACATAATGTGATCTATGAATTGTAAGCATGACTTATATGTGTACTGTACATCGACTAATACTTCTCCTAAGATAGCTCTTTTTTTTTTTTTTTAGAGGAAAACAATAGCCTGTAATTATATTAATTTCAGAGGGATAAAATGGGTCTTACGTACATTCCTAGTAAAAGTACCGTCACCGTCTACCAACTGTGGATGAGAATTACGCCTCAAGACATCTGTGAACAAATACTGGAACTTGCAAAAAAGGGTTTAACGCCCTCACAAATTATCATATACCTTCGGAACTTGTATGATATAAAGCCAATTAAAAACATTACTGTGAATAAAATTCTTCGAATCTTAAGGTATTATGGTAAGTAATCGCTTTATTCAAAAAAAAAAAAAAAAAAAAAAACCATATTTGAACGATTGTTCCTTTTAAGGTCTAGCACCCGAGATTCCTGAAGACCTTCATCATTTGATTAAGAAAGCTGCAGTTGTTCGAAAGCATTTGGAACGTAATTGTCATGATAAAAATGCTGAATTCAGATTAATGTTGATTGAGTCAAGAATTCGCCGCTACGTCAGATTTTATAAAAAGGTAGGACAACTTTCTCCGGACTGGAAATAGTATCCTTAGATTTATTCTGTTTCCTAGAATCGGATCTTGGGTTATGATTCATCTAATGATTTGAATTCTAATCTCCATTTTGATATTATTCTTAATTTTTTTTTTTCTCTAGCGAATTTTAATTTCTAGTATTAGTCATACACAAATTCAATAATAGTACTGCGGAAACATGAAAAGAAACATTTATTATTTTTATACGTCGAAATAAAGCTAAATCTGGATTCCACTTAAGTGGATTTTATATAAATTATTACAAAGTTGGTAACATTTTATAAGTTGCCTCAATTACTATGTTCTTAAATTTTATGTTTTTAAATTTTATGAATATAGTCTTTTTAATAAAATTATATATTTTGCCTTGTTGCCAATTTATTTGCCTTTATATTTTATCACTGTTTCAACTAGTGTGACAATTGAATTCTATGAATCCCGCATATTGTTTTAACAATGATAATATGCGAGTTCACAGAATTCAATCAGTACGAACCTTTGATCGGCTTTAAAAACATCAGGGACCTTATGGTATATAGTAATTGCTATGTTCATAAAGATATCTTCAAAGAAAAGGCCATAAGATATGTAATCAGTTCTTAACCACAGTATTTAATGAGTTGTATAAATGCACTACTAGACACTTCTCGCGATTAAAGTTGTATCCGAAAATAGATAATTTTCTACCAGTGCAACAAACACATAACTTATCTCCTTATTTGCGATATAATTACTACCATTAAAATTAAAGCAAGTAAAATTAAATCCTTACAGTTAAATTAACAAAATATAATTATGTCGTATTTTATTCTTGATGTATTATGAATTCAAAATATTGATCATTTCTTTTCAAACTTTAGATCGGGTTAAGTGAAATAATCGCTGTCATAGTAGGCAATCAGTAATTATTTTTTTTTTCACAACAGTTATGTAAATGGTCTCGATTTAGGGTTTGAAATGAAATTATCATTTGAGAAATCATTCAATATCGATATTGTAGCAAATACTTGAATCGGAGAGCAACGACGACTTAGAGATTAATGGAAATGGATTCGGTTACCATTGGCCACTACTTACAATACTCCTAAAAATAATACCCTCACGATTAAGATTCGGGTATTACTTGCTATCCTTACCAATGTTTCTTGAATAAGATCCGGGAATATAACTACGCATATTGATTTACTATTACCGTAAATTCTCGAAATAGCGGGCATCTGCGCGCTATTTTGACTACGTGCACGTTATTTCGAATACGCCCATGGGCGTTATTTCGAGATAAAGTATTAATTCTGGAATCCGATTGTTACTAATGTTATAAACAGGTCGAATGAATAAGTATCAGGTAAATATCGAATACAAGACTTCTGATATGCTACCAATATGTGCATATCGGGAGTTTTGTATTCCGATATTTGCCCGATGCTTGCTCTTCGAGGTGCGCGCTATTTCGGAACGCGCATGGGCGTTATTTCGAAATCACCTATGCTATTTTTAGGGGGCGCGATTTTCGAAATAACGCCCCTGCCCGCTATTTCGAGAATTTACGGTACCTAAATTTGATTCTAATTTAAGAGCTTAGGTTAAATTTGAAATTTGAATTTCAGATTCAGGATTCAAAACAGAAGATTTGGATTTTGGCTTCGAAACAGGAGGGAATTTGGGATTTGGAATTTGGATGGGATTTGGGATAGAGTTTGGGATTTGGGATGGGATTTGGGATTTGGGATAGGATTTGGGATTTGGGATGGGATTTGGGATTTGGGATAGAGTTTGGATTTGGGATAGAATTTGGGATTATGGCAGCCCAAATAGGATTATTCCAGTTTGGGATTTGGGATTTTTCCACTTGGGATTTGGATTTGGGTGGGATTTTAATGATTTATAGTTTGGGCGGCATGTATAGTTGAATGTGATAAAGTTGATCAAACAGTATACGTATCCCAAATCATGTGCTTACGTACTGTACGTGTGTACGGGAAATTTTATGGCTTTGATTATTGGCGTAAATAAGTAAATCTGTACGTACTGTACGTGTTAGTTGATGACTATTGATTAAATAGAAAGCTTATATCAAAAAAAAAATTATTTATTTGCATTAACATAGTACTAGTAATTCAAGTCGATTAAATTTTTATAGTTTGGCTAAGCCGTTATATTTTATTGGTTTTGGCTAATAATTAGTACTGAAAGCTACATCGATAGAAATTTTCACAATTTATTTAAATAGAGTTTCTTAATACTGTTGAACATTCCAAACCGACATGCATGGTGGATAGATTTTGTATCAGTATCGAGAGGTTATCAGATTTGAAAATATTTTATATCGGAAACGCAGGTTGTCAATTTTGAGAGGTTCAACAGTAATTGATAAAGTTAAATATCTTCTTGATACATACAGTATAATTGTCAAGTTTGGTATCAGCATTGACTATTATGATTAGCCGGCTGATAAAACTATCAGCTAAAAAGCTAAACGACTGGTTTAATCTGCCTGGAACGTTAAAAAATATAAGTTCAAAATTATGAAGGAAAATTAATTTTTGTGGGTGCGATACCTCAAACCCACGATAATTTATGACTATGACAATGACTAAAAGTCATATGGCCAGGGTCATCAAGGTCATATCAAAAAATGGTTATGACCTAAGTCATCGGTCAACATTGTGTATATTGTATCTGTTATTACAGATTTAATAAAGTTAATTGGTTCTAAGTAGAAATGCTAATTAATTTCAAAATACAGAATTAAAACCAACGATAGTGAAATTATTCTCACCACTATAATTTGATTTCACCAGCAACTTTTGTTGAGTTTGACACTATTGATCGATAATTGAGTTTAGGTTATGGTCCCAATTTAAGTAGAAATCCTGATTCCCAACCCAAGCTATGTGATCTTCTACCGAACTTCCCAGAGAATTACACTGAACTATAGTATCGAGCTTCATATTATGCTTATATATGACAATGTAAGCCGAAATTCAACGTACAATTGAGCTTGAAGTAATTGACATCTTATCTGTTTTGCGGTCCAAAATCTGTGATTTTTGATAATTTTAGGGATATTAAAAGTACTTAAAATTATGGATTTTAATATATTTACAAGATAAATATTATGTAAAACAGAAGATCAAGCAAATATTTCTTGCAATTTCCGTCGCTAGCTTACTGTAAAACATATTATAATCATATTAGAAATACAGTATATTTGTTAGATGCCACTTTCAAATTTCCGTTAATTAATATTAACGTACGTGGCTAACCGGTATGACTTTTTTTTTTTTTTGATAACTGTAAAATGCTACAAAGAATGAATCGCATTTATTTATTATCAGAGTTTAAGATACGAATATAAACGAAATTGAATATAAATAAACTAAATGACAATTCGTTATTTGAATTAAATAGCATTTGAAATAATAAGCAAGCAAACTTTATTTTCATGTGAATTCAATAATTTTATGCATAAAACATTCATATTTTTATGTATCATACATTCATATTTTTATATCAATACCATCCTATCTGTGAATTTATTTGTAATTGTGACCCCATCTGATTATCAATTTGACCTGACATCTGTTGTTGATTATTCCATGGATTGTACATTGCAACATTCGGTTGTTGTTGCCAGGCAAATTGCTGGGTTGGTTCATATGATAAAAATTGATTATTCGTTTGACTAGGAATTGTTTGCCAAGGTCGTCGCATCATCCTTTGAGGGTTCTGTTGAGGCATTGGCTGTGGCATAATTTGTCTAAGCATATTACAAGACATCAACATTTGTTGGCTCGATTTTCTACTCACATCTTGCGAATACATCAATACAGGCTGCCATGTTTGATATGGCATTTGTTGTTGTGCAGGACGCAACTGCTTTTCCATTTGTTGCTGTTGATTCAAGGATTGCATCGCTAAACCATTGTTTATTTGTCGTGGAATTTGAGTATGCAACATATTCGGAGTTGGTGGTGGTGGTGGTATGGTCGATATTTGTTGAGAATATCGCATTTGTTGAGGTATTTGAATCTGTTGCGAAGTTAGTTGGCTTGATGCATTTTGTGTTTGTAAACACTCTTGTTGCTGTGGCATGTTTTGTGCAATCGTTTCTTGCTCTTGCCATATCTGAGAAAAATTAGGCATTACATGCTGTGGTTGTCGCTGACGATTGATATTTTGGGACATCACATTTTGCGACATGCTATGAGACAGAAGTGAATTTGGCATTAGAGAAGTCTGCTGAGATTGTGAATTTATTTGATGAGGACGTTGGTTAACTCGAGGAATCGGTTGTCGTATATGTTCTGGAATCTGTTGTTGCATTGCCAAATTCGAATTATTGTTATTTTGGACGAAAACAAATTCCGACTTTATGGATGCTGTATATGGGGACTGAGATTGGAATTGTTTATGAAGTCGTTGAGACATCGGTGACGAATAGTATTGCCCGTTCAATGGCACTTGTTGCACTCTGTCAACATAGGTATGAATAGGTTGCGATAGTGTATTAGATATGTTATTATTCACGTCAGGTAAAGTTGGACTCAGTGGTTCGTATTTCACTGAAACAGACGAATTTGCTGTATGTTGATTGGCATTAACTTTCTGATCATGAAAATCATTATCAAGTGATTCTTGTGAGATGGATTCAAATGGACCGAAAGATAATGGTGCATTAAGCATTGATTGGAAATCAGGGAATGGATCAATATCATAAGGAGCATCTTGTTCTTCACTATTGGCTCTCTCATAAGATGCATTCTGTTTTTCATTATTGACTCTCTCATAAGTTGTATCCTGTTCTTCGCTATTGACACACTCTTTTAGCTTGACCTATGTTATAAAATAGCCATGTACAGTATTTAATTTAAAATTTTACCATCAAAGATATAAATCTATCAATACTATATTTGCATCATACCGTCTCATTGTGTTTTTGCATTTTTTCATTGTACCTTACTCTTTCCTCTTCTGCCATTCTGTAATATGGCTTAATCAATAATAAAATAAAATATAAATTAATTTATTGCATTGTTTATACACGCGACTTTCAACTCAAACATAAAAATTATTTGATATTACCTTTTTTTCTGCTTTCGACATTGACTTCCAAGTCTTACCAAGAAGTACATCTAATTGATGCTTATCCATTTCCGGATTTTTTTTAACAAATTCTGACCTATTCATGCAAATTTTAAAACAAATTCGACCAAATCATATATGAATATATACGTAATATATTGCTTAATTATGTAACTACCTTTTAAGGAATGCAAATTGAAGGTAAGAATTAGCAGGTTTCCTTGGTGAATCTTTATCTTTTTTTCTTCTTTTTGCTGGTTTTTTTCTTTCGGTTGACTCTTTCTCACCATCGTCACCTTCAAGTCGTTTTGATTTACGTCTCACCGAAATTTTTTTCTGCGCTTGTGATTCACTTGTCTCTGATTCAACAATAATTATGGGTGAATCATCGATTAAATCTTTTCTTAACGGCTCTGTAGCCGAATGGTTATCTGAAATTTTATTCATGTTGTCTTGATCATTGTTCTTGGAGTTTTGCTTCTTCACCGGATGTTTTTTTCGTGGCTTGCTTATCACACGGTCTTTTCTTACAGAGTTATTAAAATTTAATTCTTGAAGTGGTGTCCTTTCTTTCACATCTACAATTTTGCCAGGAGTATCTTGATCTTGTAACCCTATATTATCGATAACTGGTGTTGATGGTGTTGATGAAGGTGCCGGTGTATTATTTGAGGTTTTGGGTGTTAAAGGGGCATCCGTGATCGATACAGCGATTGACATGGTTTTGGTAAAAAAGAAAGTTAAAGTTTATAATTGAATAAAGATAGATAATAAACAAAAAATAAGCTCAATCGATATTGGGTATTTATATTAATTGTAAAACCGTCATCGTATTTATACTAGTGATTTTAATATAACTGAGATTAAATATGATTTAGCTATAACCTGTCAAACGATATTATCAGATGTTAAAGTTTTCGATTTAGATTAAAAAAAGTAAAAACACTGCCAATTGTTCTTGAAAAATTTTTAATGAATCATGCAAAACTTGAAATCCCTATTGTTTATTATAAGGAAATTATTACATAATGAATTAAGTCAACTGCACCCCCATAAGTGCGCTTTTCTTTATATAAGTGTCAGTGCATCACTTAATTAAAATCTAACTTCCGCAATAATGTATTGTACTTATAGTACCGATTATTATGAGTCATATTAACTTCTTTATGCACCAGAATATGAGCACCAAATTGGGTTCGAATGATGATCCGGAAAATGTCTTTGAATTTTTTTTACTTTTTTTTTTTTATTTTTATTATGACGATAATATATAATGCAAATATTTAATGCTAATGCATAGAAATAATACAAATAAGCTTAAATTTTTACATTCTAATAGTTTATTCCTCCTTAAATATTGGGTTGTTTCTGGAACGTTTTTCGATAAATTACGTATGTACTTTTTTGTAGTTGATCCCATTTTACGTCCTTCATTTCAGACTGATCGATACTTTCTTTCTGAAATTCGTTGATGGAATGAAATTTCGGAGAATAGATAAGTGCTAACTTGTCTATCGATTGGGATTTAAATTTTTCGTATCCTTTTTTGAAATTATTCTTAATGTTACTAATAATACGTTGAAACAGATATTATATACTTGTTAGATCTTAGTTGCTAGTTATTAGATATATTCTGAATTATTCTGAATTATTAAATTAAAATATTTAAAATACCAATATCTTTTTTAGACAGCCTAATATGCTCATTTTCATATTTGGCCATTATAGTGATTCATAAGCTAACGAAAGAGATTTGATATATTCAATGGTTTATCTAAGTCTTAATTTGATGGTTTCTTGCTTGTAATTAATGAAAAACAACTTACAATATTAAAATACATGATTGTACCAAATTTTGCATCACTTTTGTTTTGCAAAAAGAAAAAAATATATTGATTTATTATAATTTAAATAATTATAAACAAATGACAATAGTTATTTTATTTATTAACTGCGCACGATGCTCGTATAACATGAAATTAAGATTATCATGTGACAATAGACAGAATCGTTTATTTTAGGGTTATTCTTTGAGCCAACGCTAAGTACGATAAATCGGGGTATAGAGATTTTGTACGGTACGATTAATAATTTGTACTGTACAGTATGATATTATATCATACATTTTATTTAAATATTTATTATTATCGAAATATAAAAATTATCTTCGGTAAAAAATAGGTTACACGACGTATGCTTAGTGTTAGCGTTAGAACAAATTTTTGTATACAAATTTCCAAATCCCAAAACTTCGTGATAATTTATATACAGCAATAATGCTATACAAATGATTTTACAGTAAATATTAAAAATTAGAATTCTATTATCTAATTTTTTAAACTATTTAATTTCTCACGAAGCGCAATTTCTTTTAATAATTCCAAGCTTTTTTTGCTGTAATTTAAGCTTTTTGTCTTCCCATTCAGCATAATCATGTTGCTCTTGAATTGTAGGAATAGTAATAGATTCCGAAGATGTATTAATTGAATAATTATTACTAGCTAATTTTTAAGTTTCAAAATTATATATTGAAAAAATTATTAAAATAATTAGCTAGCGTCAAAACTTTTTGAACCACATATCGTTAAAAACATCAATAAAGCTCTAATCATGAGAGAACTTAATAATAAAAACAAAAAATATTTTCACTAATAAATTTTTTTAATTTAATACCGGGTGTGGGCGTTATTTCATTCCATAGCTTAGTTTCGAAATAACATCATGCATGTCTCAAAAAAACAGATGACCGAACAGATTAGTAACTATACAGTTTTTATATTATACTTCTTTGTTATCATGCTCCGTAATATTAAACACTAGCTCGTAAGAATATGATGAAATTTAAGATATTGGACTTGAAATGCTTCATAAAATTGTGTTTTAGATGCATCTTTTCTTTGTGAAATTCTATGGCTTCTCCGACACAAGATGCAATAGCTGTAAAATTATTAATTGAAATTTGTAATTGTATTTTTTTGATGATATATTTTTTTTAGAAGCTTTTAATATGTATTGTCCGATTTAAACATTCAACTCTCATTATAGTCTTAAGTGGTTATAATTTAAAAATTGTCTACAAAGTAGATTCGGATTCAACTTAAGACTTAAGGTTGATCCAAGATTTTCTACTACTTAATTCGATTTAAAATTATTTCTACTTAAATATATTCAGAATCTACTGTACTTAAGATTATTTGGGTAGTTCTACATCTTATCAAGAAAAAAATAAAAATAAAAATAAATTAATTAAAATAAAATAAGAACTAGTTTATTTACTCATGGCTTTGCTATGGGGACTATTTTATATGCGAGTAATGCCGAATAAAAACTTTGTAAGCAATGATTTTATGCATTCTATAAGTTTCATCTAATAGAATTTATTTCTGAATAATAACATTATTAGAAATTAATTCTCTGAAGTTACAATAATTAAATGCATAAAAATTTACAGATATTCTAGATTTGCATTTTTTGACCGGTACCTTATTATATTATTCTTAACACCCAACTATAAAATTAAATGAGAAATTTTCTTCATGATATAATATATGGTCACTTTAAAATTTTCTAGCATATTATTTATTACAAGCCAAGCACCAAGAAAACTAATAATATCTTCAAATTAACCAAAAAAATGAATGAGGTAATTCCTAGAGATCTAATCACTCTTCACATGTTACCAGATACCAGGAAATTCCTATTTCAAAGAGTAAACATGGAGATAAATCTTATAAAGTTATCATAATAATAAGGCCAAACAGGCTAAACTTTTAACTTACGTAATGTAAAACTTAAAAGTGATCTATAGGGTTTTTATAAATGGATACAGGTATGAGACATACGGTTTACTATATTCCATAACTCGATTTTCAAGGCAAAGACCCCATATATTGTGAAAAGCTCATGAAATCTCTCATTTCGCAGAATTCAAGACCAACCTTAGTCGGATTACAAATTATTACCGTATTTACCCAACAATTTTGACAGCCAATTTTTGACTTATACCCGGATACCTAAGTATGATACTATCATGCTTTTGTACTCGGGTAAAACATATTTGTATCCATACAATATATCTCCCACACGTGTACCCAGGGTACTAAAATGAACTAGGGAAATACTTGAGTACATATGTTGAGTAAATACGGTATTTGATTTCTCGTTAAGACTATGGAAATCATCGCTTATACCTTTGTCGAAAACAGAAATGAGTAACAGAAAGGGAAATCATTACTTTTCATCTTATTGGACTCCTGAAGAATATAATCTACATAGTTTGCTTATTTTTTAAAAGATTTGAGTATTTATCCTCGATTAGTAAGATAGAACCTCCCGATCCTAATATATGAGCGAACTTCTGATCCTATAATAAAAATAAAATAAAAAAACCAGTTAATGAAAGAATGGGTTAGAATTGTCGGGTCTTCTAATCTGGTATTCCAAATTTCATATGTGAAACCGGAGTGGATAAGACCCTGCAACTTGAAAAATAGTATTTGTGCAGTTTTTTTTGTTTTTCGATCAGTTCAAATCGCATGTATTACGTAGTCATATACAATACACACGAGGAACTCCGATCGGTAATACATGGAGTAATATAATATGGGTTTTGCTTTTTCGAAGAATTTAAACACACCTATTCAATTCAATTCTTGTTCTTAAAACTAAGTCACTGTAACCCAGAGACGATGATTTTCTGCGTTCAGATCATTTTGTAAATCTTGGCCCGGATTTAGGATCTAAAGTCATCATAATGCTGACATTAATTTCATTAATTTGGCCAGAATTTGCGGATTATAATCTGGCAAATCACAGAATCATCTTTTATCACGGCTGTGACCCAAAGGTTATGAAGTCATTCCTGTCTCTATCTGATGTAACGTAACACGATATTGTTCCATTTATAAACGTCACATTTTCGCGATTTATTATTCAGGTTCACATAATGACCGACGAGTGGACTTCTGTAACTAATTCTAAAAATGCTTCTCGTAACTATTCAGCGTTCGGGTTTCGTGGAAAAACTCTCCCTAGACACAAAAATAACTCTACTAGGATATCAAGTTCATCCATAAATAATGGTGTAAACATTAATCGTCTTAAACAACAAGATAGCTATTCCTCGAGTAAACGAAATTCTGACCCAAGTCATAATACCTATCCTCCAGGTTTCGATGAACCAATTTCTCCTTCCTCTTCCGGAACTATATCACCCGATATGTCTCGGGAGATGCCTACGTTACCACCATATCATATTGAATTATCTATTAAATGTCCTTTTGTTAATTGTCAACCAAAAATGACTATAATTGATAGCACAGCTCTAGTAGATCATTTAAAAGATGCTCATAAATTACGATTTTCTAACTTGCACCATGTTTATTTAATCCTTGAAGAATATCTGGAATATTGGGCAAAAGAAATTACCAAGGACGGTGTCTTAGAACAATTAAGCGTTGAAGTAGATGGCGGTAATTATATTTTTTCTTTTTCTTTTTCTTTTTTGTCATTCAAAAATATTTATTTCTTATTATTTTAGAAACTACTGTATACGTGATTGATCCAGAAAAACTTCCAAAAGACAGAAACATTCGAGATAGCCTTCAACGCGATAAATTGGTATAGCCTATAGCTATTTGTTTCCTACTACCTTATTATTATTTTTCATAACTTTCAAAAAAAAAACTTCAGAATAAAGTATTGCAGACTCAAGCTAATGAACGTAACTATGACTCGAAATTAGAACGTAAATGTTTGTTTTGCAAGAATATTTGTGAAAATAGGTGCGTCAATTTCACACTTTCTATACATTGTATAATCTTCTAAATTTATTTATTTATATGTATCTAGAGCTATTTTATTTCGTCATATGTTTTCGGAACATAATTTTAATATTGGTCTTCCCGATAATCTCGTGAATGTTGATGAATTCCTTCAAATTCTTGAAAAAAAACTGACGAGGTGCGACATACCCAACCTATTGACTGTTTATAATCAAATGTTTTCAGTTTATTAAAATCTCAATTTTATTCGTTTCTTCATTGTTATAAGCCTTCAATGTTTATACTGTGAGAAAATTTTCACTTCGTCGGCCGTATTACGCAAGCACATGCGTAAGAAAAAGCATTTCAAGATTAATGCCAAAAATAGAATATATGATAGATTTTATGTGATTAATTACTTGGTATTTAATGAATTATGTATAATTATTATGTATATATATGAAAAATTAGATAATGATTCTACGTATTTATGTATTTTCAAGGAACCTGGAAAGAATTGGGAAACATTTGAAAAAGAGCGTTGTGATTCTGACGAAGAACATCATCGAGATGAGTACGTATATTTCCTTTTGTTTTGGAGCTATATTCATGATTCGGAATTAACTTTTTTTTTGAAAAAAAATGATACCCTAAACATAATAGCTCGTGGGATGATTGGGATGAGGAAGAATCTCAACCGACAAATTGTCTTTTCTGCGATACTATATCTCCAAGTTCTAAAGATGTAAAGAATCATATGAAATGTACACACGGCTTTGATTTATTAATGATTAAACGAAACCTTGGTACTATTTTATACAACGAACATTATTTTCATTATTTTGAATGTGCAATACATTTTATTATTATTAAGATTATTAACATTATTATTGTGGAACTTATTCTTAATAGGGTTAGACTTTTATCAAACAATCATTCTAATCAACTATATAAGATCCAAAACGTTAAATAACACATGTATGGCGTGCGATTCAACATTTGATGATAATCAGCACTTGATTGAACATATGTGTGAAGATAATTGTTTTGTCAAAGTTCCATCATTGGATAATCCTATATGGAAAGATTTAAAGTAAATTATTAATTTTTTCAAAAATACTGTACGCTTAATTATATAACAATTTTACTTTCATGTTAGGTATCTATATCCAACACAACCTAATGATCCACTATTAGATGGATTTGAAGATGGTGAAATTAGCGATGATAATGTAAATGATGATAATGATGATGTACCATTACATAATCCAGATGATACCATCGTGATACCCGAAGAACCACCTGAAGAATTGAAAGAAGGTATTAAAAAATTAATGGAATTGAATAACAATAGTGGGTCTAATTTAGTAGATATTAAAGATTATGTATATAATGATGTAAATATTTGAATAATTTTTAATAATTCACATTTAAATTGATTGAAGTGAATCGATATGGTTGTATTTTTTATCTACGTTTCAAACAAATATAGTCTTAAATATAGGATTGGTTATTTTAATTTACACTATTGCATTGTTGTCTATTTTTAAATCCAGTGAAACCTCTAGCCTTCTAGTGAAATTTTCCAATATATATAGCATATAACTATTAATTCGCGATTCGTGAAAGATGTACAGAGTTTCTATATATAAAAATGGGGATATTAAATAATAAAAGAAATTAATACCTATAATTTGAAGCCGGAATTAAAATTTCTTAATTTCTGTCAAGTCAACATCTTTTGTGTTTCTAACAAAACTTGTAGAGGCAATTTTGTTTTATTATATTTAATATCCCCTCATGTATATATATATAGTATTAGTAATTCTTTCTATCTCTTAATTAAATATTATCTAATGGTCTATCTATTTGTCTCCGGATAACTGACCCGTATTACAAACTCATAACCGGGTAACAACCCGGTTTATTATTATTATTATACCTGAGTAGCCCCGGTTAATCCGGTTGACCCGATTATAGCGGTCAGGAGATGCCGATTATTTTTTGGATAATGTAAAAAACTTACATAACGATAAGAATTAAACTTCATAATTCGGGCCACATTACATGATTTTGTTCTCGAAATTTTGAATCGTATGAACTCAAAAAATCAGATTAATAGAAATTAACTGACAACGTAATCCGCAACCAACCAAATCATTAAAGCCATGCTGAAATTTTGTTATTCGGGTTAATTGGTTAGCTATCCGGTTAAGAGTGCTTATACAGGACCGGGTAACCCTTATCCAGGCCTAATCTCTATTCAGTACTTATATTAGTCAGATTAAGATATATAAAATTTACCAATCAGATTGCTTTAAACGATATATGATATTTATTTGTTTATTATTGTCTAATGACGCCATTTTTTCTATTGTCTACTCACAACCCTAAATATTACTCCCGAATATAATATTTAAAATTTTACATAAGAATGCAGATCTATGCAATACAAAAAAATATTGTTTTTTTAAGTGCTGTCCAACAAATTTTTTATATTATTTTATTACAATTACAATAATTTTTTTATGTTGAATTAGACATAGTATAAAATAGAATTAATTATTTGTAGCCATACTATCAATATAGTTTTTTTTATAAAAAAATTTTGTAGCCATATTAACATTAGGGTTAGGGTTAGTATTAAGGTTATTGGTTAGAAGTTAGTTAGGGTTAGGGTGTAGGGTAAAAATGCAAGAGGAGCATTTTTACTTAGTTACACAGCAGGGTTACCCTAGTAAAATTTTGAGTTATTAGGGTGCGGCTACATGTAGCCATGGCTATATGTAAAATTTTTCTATAAAATATATATAAAATTATATAAACTACGTGCATAATAACTTTTAGATCAAAATAATTAATAAAAAGGCTAAAGTAAAAAAAAAATCTTTTAAATTTGTCCAATCAAAAAATTCTTGCTGACCACTCACTATGCTTATACATTGTCTTTTTGTAAAAGCTATTTTCAAATCTGATAACCAAGAGTATAAAATTAAGAAGATAAATCAGTACTTTTATTTGTAACATTACGTTGTCTTAAACCGCTGTTGTAGCCTTCGGGATTAGCATCACGAATTCTATAATAAATAGAGTGTAAGAATTTCTGTGAATAAAAAGATATATCCTTAAATCATAGGATACTCACAATTTTAAAAAGGCTTCTTCCAAACTCTTTTGGCTGACGCCCCAAGCTTTAACAAGTTTTTTTCCTGGCTCGCTATTGCTCATCTCTTCATTTTCTTCCAACCACTGAATAAATGATGGTAAAGCTGGTAAAACAGATAAAGGAAGTTCGTAGATAAGAGAGCCAGCTGAATCATCTTCCAACTTAGCAGCAGGTACTTGAGCTTCAACTAATTCCTTAAGACGTTGTGAATCATTAGGGTGAGTGACAAGAGATACGCGATAACCAGCACCAAATTTATTTTTAATACGCATAGAATTTCCAAGAGCACGCAAGTGGCCATGAGCCATGACACAAATTCGATCACCTAATACATCGGCTTCCTCCATAGAATGCGTTGTTAAAATAATAATTCTTCCCTGTTTGAAATTTTCGATAAAACTCCATACATGACGTCTGTTAACTGGGTCCATTCCGGTCGTAGGTTCATCCATGAAAATGATTTTAGGATCACCGATTGTAGAAATTAACATACTAAGACGACGCTTCATACCACCACTGTAAGAACCGGCCGGCTTGTTAGCAACCTTAGTGAGACGTACAGCAGCCAGCCGTTCTTCTACCAGTTTCGCAATTTCAGCAGATGGTATATTTTTAATACCTGCATAGAGTTCAATATGCTCTTTCGCCGTTAAATCATTAAAGAGAATATCATGTTGAGGGCATACGCCCATGATCTTACGAATTTGATTCATGTCATTTCGAACACTATATCCGTATAACAATGCATCACCATTTGTTGCTGGGGTTAGTCCAGATAGGATGTTCATTGATGTACTTTTACCAGCACCATTCTGTCCTAGTAAAGCGAGACATTTTCCTTCTTTCAAAGTCAAGCACAAATCATTAACCGCCACTTTATCCGATATACTTTTAATAAAAGATTTTCGATAAACTTTGCTGAGATTGCAAATCCTGACGATACATTCGTAAGTTGGATCAAATGCTAGAACACGTTCACGAGCAACATCTTCATCTTCTTCAGTATGATTACTCATTTTAGCTTTCTGAGCACGATTTAACCATGCTTGCAAATCAAACTTTCTTTGGAATTTAATTCCATAATAACCAGGTGTTAAAAAGAAAAATGGATTCTCGTAATTTCCAAATTCATCAGGAATGATTTTATCCAGATACCATGTAAGAATATAATAAAAACCGATATTCATCAACAAGAAATACCAACTTTGAATCGGAGGAGGTACGGCAGGTTTAACAGCAGTACCACCATAAGTTGGAAGATAAGTATCTGGAATCGGATTATAAAGATCATTCCAAGCGAACCCTGGACCGGGGATAGCTGTTTGAGTTAATTGATCAAGCTTTCCAGCAGTCAACATAGATAAGTCTAAATAAAGCTTGCCAAAATTGAAAAATGGTAAAAACATCAGAACAATCCAGCCTGCTTTATCAACAGATGAACTCCACCAAATGTATCCCAAAACTGCATTAGAGAATACGAAAGACTGGAAAATAAGCCCAATAATAAATATGAATATACCAACAAGCACAGCGACACGCGCACGACGACAGAATGTAGTGATGAAGAATGCAAAAGAGACCATAGCAAGGCCAAACAAAGCAAATGTAATAAATAGAACACCAAAGTTTGCATTTTTAAATACAAAAAATTGGAATGCATATCCAAACGAGCAGGTTATCAGCGAACAAATAACCACCAACCAAGCATTAGAAATTAAATAACTTAACCAATAAACCTCTTTCTTCAAACCCATCATCACTAAACTATCTACTAACTTTTGTTCTTTTTCAGTTACAATTGTATTTAGAACAGAAATGAAAATGATCATTTCAGCACAAAAGAAAAATATAGCACCAAATGATGTTACAATTTGATCACTAAGTTGAGAAGGAGGAACTTTAGGCCAATCCTTAAGTTTAATGTCAAATGTCGCAGGGTTTTGGAGATCGTTAGACGCAAAAGTAACTAATTTAGAAGAAAAAAAAAAAGCAATTAATAAAAAATGAAATGAATATTAAAGTTAATAAAATGGAAATGATATAAATCTATACCAATAGCTTCATCAATTCCGCGTTGTAAAGCAAGTACTTGTTCACCAAACATATCGGTCTGATTTGCCATAAGCGTACTGTTAAACCAAATCTGATATCTATAATTCACAGGAGGGCCTTGATCAGTACTAAACTCAATACCAAACAATGTAATATTTGGATTATTTAAAGTGTAATTGTAGATGAAGTTAGCGTCAGAAACGGGAACAATTCCAAGGGTGGACGTTGGTATAAAGTCAAGGGTAGCGATTGAATCCTCAAAGTTTAATTTTTGTCCAGTCCGTTTAAAATTATTATCTGCAAAAACTTTCATTATCGATGCTGATGCCTGGTCATTTGGTGTAAACATTAAATTGATACATGAGTCAGATGGTGTTCGTCCCTATTAATTGAGAATATTATAATTTAATCAATTAATTTGCTTTTAGTTTTTTTAATTAAAAATAGTTATTACCTGACAAGGTTGAACTCCAAGAAGGGGATAAGCCGTTGGATGTAGATTTGACTTTAATCGCTGACTATTGTCAGCTTGTTGTAAAATGTATAAAAGTAACAAAAATATTATTGGACCAATTAAAATTTGAGACAAAGTAGTTTTATAATATCGTATCTATAAGAAGAAATGTTAATTTTTTTAAAGATAATTAAAGAAATTCAAGAAAGTCTACTAACTTGTAATATAAAATTTCTTCGAATCATGATCCATAATTGCCTAAATAAAAGTAGGAATCCGTTGGCTGAATGTACCTTAACTTGTTGTACGGCTGTTTTATCTGTCGAACTGACGAAAGAAGTTGATGAAAGTTCACTCTCAGACTGTATGTTAATACCATGATTTGATAAGTGATCATTATCCATGTTTCGTAAATTATATCTTGTTAAATTCCAATAATATATATTACAAAACAGCTAAAATATAGAAAAAAAAAAATTCTAAGGCTTGTTTTTAAGATTAGAATATAGTGCTTGAAGCAAAGGGCCATGGTCAAGAATGATCATTCAATTCAATAACTTGTCATACAAAAAGAAATTATTATGGTAAAGATTTATTTCAATGGAATTTTCAATTAATATTAATTGCGGAATTAAGAAATTCAATTATTATAAAAGTTGAACACAACATAGATTAAACATTACCATTAATGGAATCGGTAGAATAATCTCCCCGATAACGAGAACACAATCATTTTTATATATTATATTAATAAGGTATGAATGACACTAAGAATCATGCTCTTTTGAATGTTTGCTTTTAATTGTGATACACTGAGACCCTACTAATTGAGAATTTTAATATCATTCGAATCATCTCATTAAGAGCGTGTTTAATCAGCTTGTTGAAAGTGATTAGATAGCAACCCTGAAAACTCTTAATTATTTTCAATTGATATATTAGAAAATTTTTTTATTTTACAATCATGTCTTCGACAAATAGAATAATAATTTTACAGAAAACTACATAATTTAATAAGCATATTTATAAATATAATTATGATAATATGTTGTAATGTAGAATATTTTTATTATGTCAACTTATTTGTAAGAAATTTGTTAATAGCTTATTAATAGTGCAAATAAATTTTTTGCTCCTAGTTTTTTTTTACAAAAGATTAATGTAGAAATCACTTCACCGGTATATTTTTTTTTGCACTTTTACTAAAAACGCACCTATGGTGAATTACATCTACCATATGTGTAATAATCACCTATAATAATTCATATAATAAAAATTTTAAATACATAAAAAATTTCACGGCACAAATTACAATACAAAACCTATATAGCCAAAGATCCTTTTTTATTGAATTTGTACTACAATTTCGCACCCCATGTTTATCGATGTACAAATTTGTTTATATAAAATTCATTATGAGCCTTGAATTATATAATACAAATGAAATGCAAGCCCGTAAAAGTGAATTAACCATATACTTATATTGTATCTAATATATTTACCAAAATGTACAAGACAATTAGAATAGTTAAAGATAATTACCATAACAGTGTGAAACCGGAACCGGAAACGTGGCCTGATCGCAGACACGTGCCCACGTGACCGTGAATTCCAAATTTGAGTTTACCGGGGAATTCGGAATTACCCGAATACGGACAATTAGACGAAAAGGTTTTGCGAAAGACAGATTCCTAATATCGACAAAGTTAGCTGGCATTAGTTATAATGCTGGCCAATTTAGTCGGTACTATGTTCTTTCGGGAAAATGGTTTTCGAGATTTTGTGGTAGAACATGGCGAATAACAATAATAACAGCAATAAGAGTATAAGAGTAATTTTAATTATTCTATTATGTAATAATAGATTGTGATTAATTATAAATAAAGGCTTTCTTGGCCCTTCGAGAAAACCTAGCCACTTTACCTAACATATCAGCCGATTTGTAAATTTGGGCCTTTGTATTTAGGTCACCAAATTTAGATTTACACGTGAGCATTGACCAATCAAATCATACATTTATCATTTACCGTGTATAGAGTTAATACCTCAATCCGGATATATTTTTTATATCCGGATTAATCCGGTTTTAT